TTTTTTAAAATCCAATGTGTGGATCACATAATATTTCAAAAATTTTAACTTTTGAGTATAGATGATCCGCACTGTATAATGTTTATTTCGTTCTAAACCAAGTGTTTTTTCAATATTTTTAATTTCTTTATTACCATTAACATGTTCTATTGAAGCCTCACGAACGTTTATAAGATTTCCACATAGCGGATACACACCCCAAAAGTCATGACCTATTATATCAAGTCCACATAGAGCAAACTGCTTAGTAGAATCTCCTTCTGTTAGTGCCAATGTACAATTTTCTCCGTGCTTAGTTCCAGCTTTTAAAGCATCATCAAGCTTAGGAACATTAATAATAGTTGAATTGGTAATAGAAGTAGTATATAGTTATACTAATTAGATATAAAAAGACGACGAGTGGCGATAACCACCATTCTTATGATAAACTAGGGTGACAAGTGATGGCGATAACTGCCACCACCAGAATATTTGAAGATGCTATTGATTCTTGGGAAGTTTTTTGGTTGGTATAAAATATTATTTTATTAATATTAAAATAAAAAATCAGAATTCCTTTTTTTTCATAAATTTAATTGGATCAATATCAAATCTATAACATTCGTTAACTCTTGAACAACTGAATATGGTGCAACTTGAGCATATCAATGTAGATGACTAGAACAATCATATTGTAATTGAATTCACACAATCATATCTCATTGCTTTATGGCTACATTAATTGGATTGTTAAATTGTTAGGAAGTTTACTGGAAAGATTTAAAGCTGATATTAATATAAATGTTACGAAAGGATCCCATTAGTCAGAACAAGCTGGTAATGTATATGTACATATATATTGAGCAAGAATAATCAATTAAATTGATTGAATTGATTAAATTAATTTTATGTTAATAATAATTTAATTAAATGATAAAGAATGAGCTGCTACATATTTATTAAAAGTTACAATGCTTTACAACAATAAACTATAATAAGTATTATTATGACTATTTAATAATAGTTTTTTAGTTATTTTGTATGATTTCAACAATATAATTAATTGATATTATATGTGTGTATGTTAATTAGTATGCATTAGTGAATGCTTTTGATTTTTAAATATTGTTAACAATAAAAGGAACGAAAAAAAGAAAAAAAACTCTATTTTCTAATCTACAAGACTCGAAAAAACTTTTTTGTGAAAATCTATCTGAATTGTTCGTATTAATCGTATTAAATATATATATATTTAAAATTAAATAAATAAGCGAAAATTATTATTAATATACAAAATATACATTAAGATTCATAAGGTGGATTTATTAAACGTGCACTATTAACAAAAAAAAAATTTTTTTAAAAGTTTAATATTATCATATATATTATTTCCAACTATAAGTTAAACAAATAAATACCTTGCAGATTTAATAGTGTCGATAGATGATAAAGATGATAAAAAGGCTATTGTATCTTTCTGAGGAGTTTTCTTTTCTTTTTTCCCATTAACACTATTCCACGAATAATTAATCGATTCTAAATCAGATACTACAGAATTCTCATGTTCAGATGCATCATTTGAAACTAGTTGCTGCACAACTATGTAATAGTATTATTATATTTAATAATTAAATTAATCATTCAAAATCGTCACTAAATGATAATAATAAAAATAATAATAATAATAATAATAATAATAATAATAATAATAGTAATTACCTAGTGCATCTCTTAAATTTTCTACTTTGATAGTTGGTTTAGGTAAATCACCAGAACTATCTTCATGATGAGTAAAAATGGGTGGAGTGATTGCAAAATGAGGTTTTTCATTGCCAAGAATTCTTGATGATCTAATCTTTGAAACTTCACATTTCAATCTTTCAAATCCTTCTTCAGGGTTCCATTCCGCCATCAAATTTTCCTCTAATTGTTTGCCGCCTATATCTGTTAATTCTTTATGTTTACAAAGTAAAGGTACTATAATTTGATGATCAAGCCAAATGTCAACTGGTTGCAATAGTTGATTTGGCTTGTTGGATATTTCCTCATCTTCAAAAACTGTAAAAGTTGATGATGTTGTTGTTGTTGATGATGTTGATGATGGTGATGAAATATTTTCAATATAAGTTGACCATTGATTTTTATTTAATCTTTCTTCTTCAATCTACATAAATTTTTTTGTGTGGGAGAAAAAGAGATTAATTTTTGATTGTTGGAATCATATACTATAATAGAAATTTTCTTACTTTTTTGATATAATCTTGTAATTCTGAAATTTTTAAACCAGTTGCAATATCATAAAAATATAATACAATAATACTAGCCAATGCTCGTTGGCGGGTATAATTTTCAAGCTTTTCTTCTTTAGCTTCAAGCTATATATATATATATATATATATTTGTAAATTATAAATTATAAATTATAATAAATTTAAGATTTTAATACAAATAAGCATATAATATTCAACATACCTGTAATTTGAAGACAACTGGTACACCACAAATGACTTGGTCAACATGAAAACGATTAAATAGAGCACGAAGAATAGTGGATAAAGTTATATAATCTTGCGGAGTAGATTTTTGTGATAGTAAAAATTGGTATAATGACAAATGCAATGAATTTAAAAAATGTATTGATGGTTGTTTGAAATATGTAGTAATCTATTAATTATAATAACAGTTACAATTATAAAATGAAAGAAAAAAGGTCAATATTAAAAGTCTTTTAGTAAATAAAAAATTGATTGATTGATTATAATTAATTACATTTGATGTATCTGTTTCCTTCGGTTCTAGTGGTAAATCAGAACTTTCTAAAAGTGTTAATAATACTTGTGCATATGCTATTCTCACTTCTGCAAAAAAATTCAAAAAAAAATGATAAGATGTTAATCTTTGTAAGTACAAATCAATTGATTAACCACACACAAAACAATAAATAAATATATATAAAATTAATAGTGTACCATGGTCATCATCAGAGCAAAGCCCAGTAGTCTTTTGAAACGTTTCAATTTGAATTTCATTTCTTGGATATTCAGGGTAAAGTTTTTTAGATTCGTTATTCTTTTTAAGAACAGTATCCAGACATTTCAATAAAGTTTTTCTTGAGTCACTAATAGAAATTCCTTTAATAATAAAAACAACATCATTGGTAAATGTGATGCCAGTGTTATTATCAGTTATATTATTAGTGATATGAGTATTATTATTATTACCATTACTGTTTTTGCTGTTGCTGTTGTTGTTTTTTTCTTGAGTGTCCGATTCAGGTTGTAACTGTAAATGTTGAATAATATGTTCCATTATATCATTGACTTGATTGGCATAATATATATGTATTGCAAGCGCACCTAAAATCAAATTATATTTTATTAATAAATTTCTATGCTCAATTAATAATAATTGTAATATTAAAATTTACCTATGCAAGTGAAAAGTCGTTGAGCATTCATTTCTTCCAATTCAGCAGATTTTTTAATCAAAGAAGTTTCAGCCACAGATGCTTTCTCATCACTATTTAAATTTGCGACTTCCAAATTGTGATCCCTTAATTTCACAGAATTTAACAAATGACGCAACAAACAACCCAAAACTTCTATAATCGAATAGTTGATCAGGTTAACTTTATTGGTAAGAATGGAGGTTAACATCTCGATCAATGTGAATTTTTTGGGTAAAGATTCTGCCACATTAATCAATGAATTTAGTTCCTGTATTATTTTGGTAACAAGTGTATGACGAAATACTGGCTATTTTTTAAAAAAAGGATAAATTTTATTAGATTAATGAATCTTTGCGAGAAAAATATACATATATCATATATCTATATATGTAGATTACCTGCAAGGAAGAAATGACAACAAAAGCTAAACTAATACCAAAAGATGATGGCAACCAAAGATTGTTATCGTCTAAAAAGGCAAAAGTTGGATTAAGAGACATATTAATATTTGAAGTGTTGGCATATTTAAATACTTGTTTGTAACAATTATAAGCTAGTCGCGCATTTTGCTCAGCTGAAATTGTTGTAGAATTTATGGAAAATTGATTTGGTTTTGAATGACCATCACTATTATTGTTATTTTCTTCCATTTCGCTATAAATAGTAATTGGTGATAATAATAATATAGACGAATATTAAAAATTTATATATTTATAATTATTATTAAGACAGCAATAAAATAAAAATTCTATTGGAGTCTTTTCTCTTTTACTTACATTTTTTGTAAATGTTCTAAACCAATCTCATTATCAGTCAAATTTTTTAAAAGAGCAGGAATAATTTGTTGAAATTGATGTTTAGATTTTGCCTTATATAATGCATCAGAAGTGACCGCAGCTTGAAGTGCATGAAGCCCTATAAAATTATATCTATTTATGTTTACATTTAAATTAATAAAGCATTCAAACATTAATAGAATATCATCATCATCGTCATCATGTTTACCTTTTCTCTAAATCAACATCAGATTCAATTTCATAAGTTGCGTAGTTTGCAAAATCAGAAATTAAACTTTCATAAATTGTTGTAAATTCACTATCTACTCCGAGATTTGTTCCATCATGATACAAGCAAAAATCAATAAACTAATAATATTATTTAAAAATGTACTGTATGTATGTATGAATAATATAAAATATCCTTAATATTTATCTAATATATATATACAAGTATTAATATTTTACCACTGAACATGCTCGTGCAACTAGCTCGATGTCTTTTGTACTTAAAGAGTCAGCAATAATTTTAACCACGTTCTTTGAAAATAGATTTAAATCTTTTTTACAGGCACCCAATAATTTTGAAATAATTTGTAAGGAAACATCTATATCTCTGATTTCCCGAGAAAATGAATATTATTAATAATATTATAGGTACATGAATAATAATAAGTTATACACATACTGCTTTTTACGTTTTTTAACATCGCTAGCAACTCTTTTTTCTAGATGGATGCCACATTTTGTAAGCTTGGCAGGTTTTGAATTTGCATAAAATACAAGATACGAAAGTTCGTTCGACTTTGGATTTAACTCGTCCGGAGCAGTTGGATAACAATTGTTTATAAGGGTGGCATGTTTAGACCAACTGTGATAAGCCATATTTTTTGTTATATATATTATTAAGTTAACTTAAAATAAAAGGATGGGGTGTTACACATTTTTATAAAAAACCTTGTCAATCTTGACCTTTTATTACTTTTGATTTTGGACCTCGAGTATATTAATATTGTATATTAATATTAATATATATACAAACCCCAAAATTATAGGTAATTATCTGATCCCATAAATTTTCAACATCTCCAACCAAATACCCCACCTCTCAACTGATTAGAATTTTTGGTGATCTCAGATACTTTTCAAGTTTTGTCTCAAAATGACATTGTTAATTGTTAATTACCAGGAAATCATATATTAATATTAATATTATATATAATGACAATTATATATTCATTTTACTTTTGTTTGCAAATAAATAAGAAAATTCTACAAGTGATAACAATTATATAATAAGCATAAATAGTGGGTATATTTAGAAAAATCTAGATGTTTATTTGGTGATGATAAATGCAAAATCGGATTGATAAATCCATTAGATAGAACAAACAATAGACTTCAAAGATCACAAGACCTATCATACATAAAAGAAGACATTAAGAAACTAATAAAATAAATAAGCGTTGAGAAAAAAGACATTGTGAGATCGTAATTCACATCTCACAGTGAATCTCAATATATTATATTTATAATAATATCTTACTTAAATTTATACAGCTGTGATCGAGCTGGTAAGTTAGTAATTAATTAATTAGTTTTATGGTTTTAACAAGCAAAATAGTCCTTCCACTTAATTAAAGATATTTTCATGTTTGTATTTTATTATTATAAGATGTTATTATTGCAAGATAGATATATTGATAAAAAGATAATTTTTGAAGTTAAGAAAATTACAACCGTTATTTATACATGTTAAAGGTTCTATCATCTAGTTCTTATAATTTAAATTTAGCCTTAACCAATAAAATCTTGGCTGACTGATACGTTATGTACGGCCATGCCAATTTTAAATTTAATTTACAAATAAACATCAGCTGTTTAAGCTAAGCAAGTCGTCTAAGCATTAAATTCCTTAGCCATTCACTACTCATATGAAGATGTTCGAGGATTCGTTCATCTATGCTTGCGAAGAGTAGCGAAAAAAAAAATTTGCTTTCAATTTTTTATAAAATAATTTTAATTCCATACGATTTGAAAAATCAAGAAAAAGTGCAAATTAACTGAATAATCAAAGTGAAATTCTTCTATTTTTGCCGTTGTTGCTTTAGCAAGTCCAATTGATGATGATGAGTTGGAGAAACAAAGTATTTCATTATTATTATTACAATAAATATTAACTGTTGGTTTTCATCTTATTTTAAATAATAATAAATAGCTGGTAAGTATTTTTGTCATTATTAAATATTATTCTTGAGAAAATATTAACTGTTGATTTTTATTTTACTTTAAATAATAAATAGCCCGCAAGCGTTTTCATCACTATTATCACTACAGTCAATATCATTGTTTTTGAAAAATATTAACTGTTGATTTTTCATTTTATTTTAAATAATAAATAGAACGCAAGTATTTTCATCATTATTATTACTACTATCATTCATTGTTTTTGAAAAATTGTTTGTTAACTGTTGATTTTTCATTTTATTTAAAAATAATAATTAATAACTGGCAAGTGTTTTTATTATTATTATTATTATTATTATTATTAAAAAATATTATTAACTGCCGATTTTATTTATTTTAAATCAATTCGTAATATAATTATTTTGAAAAAAAATATAGGGTTATGATATAAATTATACTCTTCTTTTACTTTGATCTTGTTTTTATTTTATCTTTTATTATTGGTTAGGATAATTAATATATATATATTACATGTATATTTCTCGGAAATAAAGAATTCATTAATGTTTATATTTGTTGATTTTTACGTTGCGTAAGGTTTATACAACATTAGTAAAACAAAAATAAATAAAGCAGTTCATTAATATTCATACACAACAAGTGTTTATTTATAGTTTGAAGAGTGTACTTGTAGGCGAAACTTTCGAGTTGAAAGTCACATGACGATTCACTAAAATTTTATAAAAATCCAATTTTGGATGCAACTTATTACTATCAATAATTTCAAGTTGAGTTCCTTCATTTCATCTATAAAAATTGAGCTATCCAGTTATAAAATTGATTCAATTGTTAAATTAGAGCTAATCAAATTAACATCAGATTCTTCACTATTGCATGATAAATTATCCTTCATCGTCTTTTCAATATTTAAAGTTGCTTGAATGCATGTAACTTCTTTTATAATACATACAAATTGCTACACATTCCCTTTAAAAACTCTTTCTCCACGCTCGAAATATTCCAAGACATCTGATAAAAGTTGGCCATTAATTACTGTATAGTTGAGTTATCGTAAGAATTATACATTTTTAAAATATAAAATTGCCTATATGTGTATGCATATATATTTATTATTACTTCTTATCATGTACTATATAGTAATGTGAGCCGGCCAAGAAATTTATCTTACAAAGGAATTTTAAGCGGCTTAGCCGGCTAACATGATAGAAAAAAAATTTTTCTCTTGACATTTATTTTTACGCCTGGGATTTTAATGCAGAATTCAGTGGAATAGATACTTGGTCAATCTGCATTACTTAGAATGAAAAAACAAACAAACATACATTTGCTCAAAAATACAATACTCGTAGCGGATAAAAACAATAGTTATTCGTTTTATTCGAATGCTCGAGTTCGTAAAAAGCAATTTGAATAAACCTTATTCAAATAGAAACTCTAGCGATAGTGAACCATCGATTGATTATATAGTAAAAATAATTAGAGCTCCCGATTTTTAGTGAATTCGTAAAAAGTACGTTATTTATATATATAGTAAATTGTTTGATAAAAAATTTGTCCAAATTCTTAATCGGCTTAGGTTATATGGCTTATCTGGCCAAGGGTTTTCTACCGGCTGACATCACTGGTTCTATATATTAATTGTAATTTTCTTTATAATCTATTTTTGTTTTTCTTCAAGAATTCTCTGTCATCTTTGAAATAATAAAAAAATTTGAATTGAGATCTCATACTTTTCAATAATAGTTTATAATGGCATTCGATATAATGTCAATTTTGTTGTAATGAAATTTATGAATGTAAATTTACTCTCGTTATAATGGCACTATTTATTCCGTTAAATTATAGAATTTATTCCATTATAATGACATTACATGCAACATGATGGGAGAACCAACCAAAATCATTTATAATTAGACAATGAATGGAAGTGTTCTTTGTTGTAAAATTTCTTTATTAAAAATCCGTAATTAATTTTTTGTTTTAAAAATGGGTTCAACCTCTGCATCTTTAAATATTTTACAGAAAAAAAAACTATACAAGCATGCTAAAAATAATCCTAGCTTAACTCAAGACAAATTTTGAAATTGGTCAAAGCAATTTTGGTTTTCTGTTGATGAAATTGTTTCAACTTTCCAATTTAAAAGAATCGGCAAGCAAATTGGCCACAATTAGAAGAAGCTCTAGCACTTTGGTTTGATGAATCTATAAAACATATACTTACAATTTCAGAAGATTTTCTTAAAATAAAAGCTCAAGACCTAGCTAAACTATGAAGATAAATGATTTTAAAGGTACTGATAGATGGCTCTCTCGTTTTAAAAATCGACATCATATTCATTCAGTAACTAAACAAGGCGAATCAGCATCTGTTCCAGTTGAACTATTACCACAATATCCTGAAGAACTTCAAACTAATGATATTTATAATTGTGATGAGACTGCAATATCCTGGCAACTTGAACCATCAAAGACTTTAGGTTATGGTGAAGGGAGTTTCCATTATGCTAGTATCTAATTTAAAGGCGAAAAACTTAAACCATTACTAATACAAAAGAGAGGTCACAAAGATTCAATACACCCAGCATGAGCCACTAGAAAAAGTTCTATTAACACATTTAAGTGAGTCACATGGGTTCGCCATTGAATGTTTTACCCCGAGACGAGTACTAGTAATGGAAAAATGAGACTTGTATTTCAAGTTGTGCATGGGATATATACAGTTTATAGCATTCCATTGAACAAATTCTATTCCATTGTGTAATCCTGCGTAATCTAAAAAAAAAAAATTCAAAATAATCCAATAGAAAAAGTAGAGTTGACGATAGGTTACGAGTTTGTGGAAGAAACTGTTAAATACAAGATCTAAGAAGTTTGCAAATGAACGTTATTATCAATTATTCAAATATTTTGTATAGGAGTGATTGAAATAAGTGTTAAAGGCAAGACCTGTGAAGTTGTTTGCAAAATATATTTAATGAATATTTTATATCATTCAAATACAGGCGGGTTCAATCGAAATAAATGCTAAAGTCAAGATCTATTTACAAATCAAGTTTCCAAAATGAACGTTTTATTAATTGATCAAATTGATGGCAAAATGATTACATAGTGAATATATGCAAGTATGAATATTATTATATGGATGATTAATTTAATTAGAAAAATATTACATTCAAGCTCTTTCATAAGAAATATTAATTAGTAACCTGTGTATTTACATTTTACAGAAACTACAGCTTGCCATTAATGCCAAATTAATGCTAACCACAAATAATGTTAAACTGTTTTTTTCACCATATAAATATAATAATAAATAATAATAATGAAATGAAATCTTCCTACTGTAGCAATTTAAATATTATTAACATTTAAAAATCCTAAATCTTGATATGTTTTTAATGTTTTCCCTAATGCATTATCTGCATAACCATAATAATGAAATTTCATTGTTAAAGGTTTGGGTCCTCTCCAATTTTTCATTAGAATATTTAATGAATAGTCATTAATATTACTAACCACACAAGAATAAATTATTGATCCTAATTTTTTTGGTAGTGTTTGATTTAATACTGTTAATATTTTATCAACATTAAGTATATAAAATCCATCCAAACCATTAACAAGTGTAATACTTTTTAACTTTGTACAACTATTAAGCACTTCCATTAATTCCTGGTTTAATTCATTATAATAAACTGTTGATAAATTTTCTAAATTTATACAAGATTGTGCAATTGATTGAAGTAGTTTTCTCATAAATATTATATCACTAACATAAAATTGATTACTAATAACATCCAAATTTTTAAGAGTTTTTCCATTGATATTGATAAAATCAGACAAGTCTGATAGTAATGGTTGATATGCAACACATACACTTACAGATTCAATGCTTGGCAGTGAAATATTTTTCAAATTATCTAATCCATAATCAACAATTGTTGATAAAATTTTTAAATTTTTAAAGGTTGGTATTAATGAATTTTCAAAATTACTTTTTCCATCAGATTCATAAGAAGTTATTGATTGTGAATGTGTTAATATTGCTTCTTTTAATTCATCTGGTAAAATTTGTTCATTTTCTGTATCAATAAATAAAGATTTAATTTGGTTTTGTGCTTTAATTAGCTGTGCCAATTCATATATGTTTTTATCATTACTATAATAATATATTTTTAATGATTGAATATTCTTACAAACATTTATTAATTTATCAA